ATCTGACAAGTCCACGCCAGTGGTGAGATCCACTGACAATTCCGCTCGAAGACCTCGAGCTGCTGCACGTCGAACCACACGTGGTGGGCTATAGACCTCCACAACGGTGTCTCGAGTTTCCCAGATGCTGCCAAAGACCTCGGCAACATCATCTTGTGCATCTTCCTCTTCCCAAAGTGCCCAATAGGTGGTCAGGTCACCGAGCAGCATGTCCAAGCTGCCATTGATGCTCATCTTGTCGGATCTGGAAAGGGTGACCTCGTTCTCATACTCTGATTCCACCAGGTAATCGATGAACTCAGGATCGAACTCATAGAAGACCACATAGTCCATGGGGGCACCAAGCACATAGTCTTGACCGGGTGTCGTGGTCATGTCAACAGCGCACCAAAGCCCATCATCGCCATCATGGGTCAGGATGACCCTCCGGCTAACAAAGGTGTTGGTGACGACTGGAGACTTCCCTTTGACAACATCACCATATCCAATGGCTACGAAGGTCGTGCTTGGGTTGAGGTTCAAAGTGTCCAGGAGGCCGCCGTAGGTCTCGTCAATCTCGATCTTGTCCGGTGGTGATTGGAGCCACCAGCAACTCACTTGTTGATGTTCTCGATCTCGAACTGGCCCATCCGGAGGTAGTAGTCGGGGAGCTGGTAGAGGTAGATGGCCAGACTGCAATTGGTGTTCAGGCAGATCAACTCCGTGTGCTGAGCATCGCCATCCATCGCTGGTGCAGTCATCATCTCGCCTGAGTTGCACTGTGGGCAAAGGAATGTCCCCACTGCCGGTTTGGTGTGTCCTCGAAGATGATTCCAAGCCCGTCGGCAGGTGGGGTTCATGCATCTCCACAGTAGTTGCCCAGTCGTCTGGTGTCGATGAAGTAGGAGGCTCCCATTGTTGCAGAATCCGCAATGCTGAGCCAGGACATCGTTCTCCATCGAAGACATCGCAATGTCCTGAGGTCCAATGGGGTTGATCTCCTCCCACTCGTCGTCCATCTCCAGATCCTCCTCCAGTTCCTCCGGATCGGAAGAAAACTCCGGAATGGGGCTCTTCTTCTGTGGCATTGTCTTGGCAGCCGTTGCCTTTGCGCTCGACTTGGCTGCGGGCTTCCGGTAGCCCTGAGTTGAAGATCGAGTGGACTCTGCCTTGACGGACTCGGCCTTCTCCTCCTTGACCTTCTTCTTCTGGTAGAAGTCGTGGCTGGCATACACGAGGGTGTTGTTCCAGGTCTCCATCTGGTTGACCGGTGTCAAGGGCATCTGCTGCTCTTGGCCGCAGTTGAGACACTTCTGGTAGCTCATGTTCTTGTTGGCGCCATGCTGAGTCTTCAAATGCCGGCAGTGAGTGCTGTCTTCCAAGCATGGCACCAAATATTTGCCTTTCCCCATGATGCACGATAGGGGTCGGACACGATCCTCCCGCCTGGACAAGGTCAGGGTTGTTCCAGGCTGGACAGTGCTGGCAGATGCAGCTTCTGCCAACATCTTCTGTTCGGCCTGAGCCAAGGCCAAAGCCTTCTTCTCCAAGTCCTCGCGCTGTCGTTGAAGGCGACGGACTCCACGTAGTTAAGGCGTTCGAACCACCTCCATCAGGCATTGGCGCGCCAGCAAGTCCACATACTCCAGCAAGCGCAGCAGCAAGCGCCGCCAGTGAGCCAGCCATGCCGCCATGCGAGGTGGTCGAGGTTGAGGGTCGTGCCTGGTCTGGTAAGGACTCCAGAGACCAGGCTTGACTCTTCGTGCCAGCGAAGTCGGATGGAACTTGAAAGCCGTGACCAAACTCAGTAATGCAAACAGCAACATGACCAGTTGACATGCGGTACATGCGTTGCTGAACTGCCAATGACATGTAGATGATGGTCAGGTGGTGCATATCAATCACAGCTTTGAGATCTGTCAGGAAGTATGCTGGCAGGAGGAATGGTATTTCACCTGGGACCACTTGTACACGTAGTACTCCACTCTTTCCGGACAAGCCGATGGGGATGTAGGCTATCCGTGTTGATTCCTCCTGTCCGCATACTCCTCGAACTGAACCACCATGCTCATTGGACCATTGTACCTGGAGACCAAAATGTTCCCGCAAATGACGATCGTGTCTTTGGAGGGTGTCATGACCAACCAACCCGTGCTGAGCCGCGGTGTCGACGAGTGCCATGCCCCGATCCGGTGCCGAACCAAGAAAAACGAACGACAGACCGCTGAACATGTATTCGCACGAGATCGGGTCCAGGTTGGTCGTCAGAAACTTATGTCCACAGTTGGCCATCACCGCTGGTGGTGACGTGAAAAACCCAGTGGACATGGTTGAGCCTCCACTCACATGTGAACTGCGGGATGAAGGGGCCGTCGATGCTTGCTTGTTCCTTTGCGGACACTCTCGAGACCAGTGTCCAATCTGCTTGCATTGATGGCAGCGAGATTTGGCCTTGATGTCATTGAGGGACATCTTCGAAGTGCCTTGGCGCATCTGCCAAGGTCGGTCAAAGCCTCTGCCCGTCCGGGCAGCCTGTAGCATTCGACGGTGCTCCAAATAACCACCGCCTCGTCCAAAACCAGGAGCTCCAAGGCCATAGGTTCTTGAACTGCCACCTTTGCCTTTTCCTTTCCCCTTCTTTCCTTTTCCTTTGCCCTTGCTATGCAGGCGCTGGTGGGTCTCGTAGAAGATCTCTTCCAGGTTGTCACTGACCATTTCAATGGCTTCCGTCTCATCCATGATCACTGGCATCTCATGGAGGAAGATGAACTGAGCCTCACTGCCATCATCATTGAGCGCGATGAGGTCCTTGAAAGGGTCGTCATCCTCAATCTCGCCATAGGTGGCAGTTGGCTCATCATCAAACATCTCTTCATTCATTTCTTCATCCCAGTAGGTAGCACTGCGCCACCTCCGGGGAGTACCAACAGCTTCATGGTGTCCATGGCTTTCGTCCAGCTTGTCACCAAAGACCTTCTGGATGGCCATTTCGATGTCCTTGTAATCGATGCTGCCGTTGGTGACTACTTTCAACCTCTGGCGTTGATCCTGGGTGAATGAGCCTTGCCTCAAAATGAGGTGACCCAACAAATGCCGCCCCGGACTGGTAGCCAACAAGTCCAGTCCTTGCTTCTTCAAATCGGCGAAGGCCGCCTTCTTGGTGGTCAAGAAGCTTGTGAGCGTTTGGCCTCGCTCACGTCTTCCTTTGAAGATCGCGTCATCGAAGGCAGTCTCGAGGCGCAAGTCCTTCAAATACTCATGGGCGTCCTCGATGATGCCAAGTATGACCTTATGGCCATTGTCCGAGCAGATGTCATCGACAGTCAAATGGGCCAGAAGGGAGCTGAGCTTCGAGCCAAGCGGAATGCTGTCGATGATCCGCTTTCCAATCAAGTTGTGAGGCAGTCGAGCCTCTGCCTCAACCAGCCAGAGTTGAAGGTTCCGGATGTACTCTTTATAGTTCTTCTCTGGCATGTCACCGCCCCAGGATGGAGCGGGGTCCACTTTGTAGTCCACATACTTTTTCTCGCGAGCACCTGATTGGCTTCCGGCCGGTGTCGGAGGCCGGATGGCCGTGGCAGCTGCAGCCCAAGGATCAGGTTCTTCATAAAGTCCCGAATCGACGGGGTCAGGTACCTGAGAAAGTCGATGAACTTCAGGTCGTGGCGGACTCGCCATGGGGGACCTCGGTGGTCGCGGCGGACTTGCCATCGGGGATTTCGGCGGGGCCGCCATCGATGGGGTCGATGATGAAGTTGCTCCAACTCCGCCTCTCCAGAAGCGGTGCAGCCTGTCAGCTGACATACTTCCCAGTGAACTGGTACTTCACAAAGGTCAGGCTGATGGCAAAGATGTCGCCTGGGCCCTCAATCAAATAGTTCGAACGAAGTCCTGGCGCCGGCTAGCAAAGTCGTAGGGCTAGCGTAGTGAAGGTGGTCGTAGACCAAAAGCAAAACAAAAGCTCAAATCAAGCTCAAAGGAAAACCAGGCCAGGATGGCCGTCAAGCTCCGCCACTTCAGTGGCTTCTAACAATCCCCTGCTGGAGGGTGCCGAAGAACTCCTCAAGGATGAGGTCGATGAAGTCGAAAGAGGTCGGGCGGGGCGTCCCCCGCCGCAAGCTCTTCCACCTCTCCAGCAGAGCCCAGGTCGTCACCCGGGCTCCGCTACCACTGATGAACAGCGGAAACGCAGTGCCTATGGCGCACGGCAAGGAAAGCCTTTTCCAAGGCAGACTCAAGTGGCCACTAAGTTTGGGCCGGTACGGTCATGGAAAGTCAACAGGTGTGGATGGCCAGGGCACAAGGCAGTTTGTTTCACAATCTTTTTTCGCACACGGATCTGTCCGTGGATCGCTTTGATTACCTTTTTGGACCGGTGGGTCCGATAGTACCCAGGAATATCTCAGAAATAGACCGTCTGCATGTGCGGTGTGGTTTTAGGTTCTTCTTTGAATATACTAGTTGTATCATAGGCTCTAATAGGATTTATCGGTCACCCTGTATACTAGGTCAGCTATACTGTCAGCTATATATAGGTTCTAAATAGTTTGGTTGGGAAAAAAACCTTAACTTAAAGATTCGTGATCTCTGCCTTCCAGCAACAGGTGACGCTATTACCCACCTTGATCCACCCGACTGCTAAGGAGCGGAATGAGGGAACGAAAGTAAAGCAAACATTTTTGTGGACTGCTGTGATTTCAGCTGACCTCGTGACCTCGACTCTCTCTCTCTCTCTCTCTTAGAAGCGTCTTTGAAGATTTCCGCCTGGTGTCCCAAAGCCATGCGTCGAGCCTCGTAATCCTCTTTTGGCACGATGACTATATAGAAACAGCTCTCAACTCCCCCGAAACAAGGTGGGAAGTCCTAAAACCTACCCTAATAGGTGGGATAGTCTAAACCCTGATAGGTTTCTATCCCGGATAGAAACAGAACCCTTGTGAACTTGAGTACTGAACTGAGGTGAACGTGACAACTGGCTCCCATGGCTCCCATGAATCGCTGAAAAAGCCATTCCAAGTGTCACGTGCTGCTCATGCAGCTTCTGCATCAGGTCCTGGCGACCGGAGCTTTTTGCGGATGCCAGGCAGTGTGGCCACACGGCCGGCCGACCTTTATCCAGAGTGCTTATAAAATAGATCAGATGCTTCAAGCATGATCTTTGCTTGCAAAAATCTTGAACACGTCGCAAGCAAATGTTTTTAGTTCAGGGGGACACAGTAGTGATTGAATGCCCCAGGGCAAACGGAATCCAGCTTTTGGACCATTTTTCCAGCGCCCTTAGGGCGCCGACAGAGCGCGTCCTGATCATGATGGTCCAGCTCAGCGTGGGGCTCTTGATTTCGCTTGGCCAAAGGCAGTTGAGGACCTTGTGGATGCTGCTGTGGATGCTGCTGTGGATGCTGTGCATGTGCAGGATGTGCAGGATGTGCAGGATGCGCCTGCGCAGATTGCAGCTGTTGCGGTGGAGGGGCTGGAGGTTGTTTTCCCTGGTGATGTTGTGGATGCTGCAAATGCTGAGGGTGCTGAGGATGTTGGTGAGGTTGCTGTTGTGGATGGTGCGGATGCTGCAACTGTGCATGAGGATGTGGCACTGGCTGCTGCGGCGTCAATGGCGTCTTCGGATGGGGAAGCCCCGGACGTGGATTCGATGGATGGCTTCCTGGTGGATGGCTGGGATGAGCTTGATGATGTGGAGTGGGAGCGGCTGGGGGGCTGTGTGGAAGATGTTTGGCATCCATACCTCACATATCGATGAGACAATCACATGACGACATGGACGAGACTTCGCTGTCCGAAAGACCTAGAATTCGAATGAAGCGGCGTTGCCTTTGCAACATCAAACGGGGTGCAGCCTTCAGCACAATTGCAATGCACATCACAGCACATTGAAAGCCAACTTCTTCCAAGCTACTCCTCCCTCTCTCCAAGTGCTGCAACAACTCTTCCGGCGCCAGGCGAAGTGGCGCCGCCGCCGCTGCCCGTGCCGGCGTCGTCTTGGGCTCTGCCGGGGTCGGCACCGGCGGTCGGACGGCAGGGCCTTCGGGCAGAGAGCGGCAGGGGCGCAGAGGGGGGTGTGCGGGTCCCGCCACGGGCGCCGCGAGGGGCGTGGAGGGTAAGGAATGATTGGCACACATGGCCATTGGGGGGAAGCTTTGCCCCCCCAAAAGGGCAGTCGTTTGGTGTTGTGCGCAGTGATGGTGTGAAAGGATTTGATGGTGCTGCGATGGTGTTGCTCTTGGAAAAGCTTTAAACAACTTTCAGTGTTTCGATGTCATGTCTCTTGTCGCGCTGTTCAGTTCTGCTGGGTCACTAGCTCGCACAAGTAGCTTGTTTGATGTGAATTCGCGTGAAGAAACGCATGCGAAGACCGGCTTCGCGCAAAAGGACACGGGCTGGACACACCTCTAGAGCCGACATCGTGCGGGCACTGTTGACCTCAACCAACACATGGCTCCTTGTCCGTTCCATGAGTTTTTGGTTGCAATGGGAGTTTCAAACAAAACATCTTCCGTTGGGTGGTTGGGGAATTCAGAAATCAACCATTCAAAACATGAGCTGCAAGGGTTATACACGATGCAACTACGTTTTGCATAAGTACAGGATAGTACAGGTAGGTATAAGGCCATAGTCTATTTGCCTGCCTGAAGCACTTGGGTGCGGAAAACCAAACATCTTCGGTGACTTGGGCTGCCCCCTTTCCGGCGACAAAGCTCAGTGATGGACTGCGGTCGTGTAGGAGACCACCCAAGAATTCATCAGCCTCAGCCAGCAGGGTGGAGAACAAATCATCACAAAACGTCATTGAACGTATATATAGACATGATGTACCACTCTATAGAAACATGATATTAGACCACTCTAATTATAGAAAAAACACATGAAAAACAAAAATCCTTAGATGCGATCTCTCTTCTTCCACTCACCACCTCCGTCGCCGCTGCCAGACCTTCCGTCGACGCTTCCCGGGACCAACCGTCGGTTCCCTGAGACGAAGGCCGCGACGGAGTCGTGCGGCTTCTCGTCCCGTTCGTCGCCTGAAGCGTCTCGGAACGAACGAAGCGCAGGAGGGAAGACCGCCTCTTGTTACAGCAGCAGATTTCAGGACGGTGGTCTGGAGAGTGGGTTGAAGAACATGAACCAATCTCAGTGGGCCTTCACCGTTGGGATCCGTTTGGGGTAAAACCTGATGGACATGGACAAGCTGTCAGCCTTTATAGGCCCAGCAACCTGCCACTCCACAGCCCCGCCTCGGCCGTGCCGTCTCTTCCGTCGCTCGCGCCGGCGCCGCTCGTAGTGGCTCTCCTGCTGGATCGGAGTCCCAAAGAGTCCGACGGACCTGTTGAGGGAGAGGAGGGGAACCAAACCCCCCTGGCTTCTGGCTTCACCGGTTCTTCGTTGAGTGGAGAAACCAACATAAACATCCATAAACCATACCTCCCCACAAAGAAAAACATTATTTTTGTAGGGTAATTACACACTTGCTTTTTCAACTTTTTCATCGGTCCATGGATCTGATCCTCAGCCCTGCACAGCAGGGCAGTGCAGAAACGGCCTCTTTTTCTTCACACGCAGCAGACGAAAGCACTTGGTCCTGGGAAAGGGTTTCTCTAAGGAATGCCTTCCTGGCCTTCCAGGCCTCCGAAGCTCTCAAGTTAGCTTGTGCAACCCATGACATGTCATATGGTCATACCATCATTCAAGATGTGGGGCATGGATCAAACATGATCAAACCTTGAAAGCTTGAAGCCAAAGGGGTTGTTTCATAAAACCTGCCACTGCACCGTCAAGCCGTCCCTGATGTGCTGCTCAGCACCCATCTCAATCCAATTCATCATATGGCTTTCCCCAAAACTATTCAAACTATTCGGAAAAATGCAGCCACGACGTGGTGGTCTCTTGATTAACACAAATCCTTCACTGTCCATGGTCATCAAGAGAAACCCTTTTTGAAACCACCATGGCCACGTGGAAGGTTCCTCCACCGCACCTGGTTGTTTCACCCACGGCTCACAAGAGCATTGCATGTCGACTAGACCTGAGATCCCTCAAAAGGTTCCAGCTCATCGTGGTGGTGTTCTCTCTTTTTATTCTTTTTGGCCTCTAACAATACACATGATGAAACATAAGTGAAAACAACAAACACAGTTCCAGATCCACTCACTTCTTGGTCTCGAGTCCTTATCACCTGCCGCCTCTTCCGTGCAGGCGCGGAAGACACGGATGCGTATCCCTAAAATCACCTCCGGCCTCGGAAAGACATGCCCAAGATCCAACATGCTGAAGGATATACATCCAACATGCCACCCCTAAAGCTCAGCATGTACAATGTACATCCAAGATGGTTTATACCTTGCTGAGATGTACATCATTGTGCATCCCTAAAGCGCTGAGCTCTCAAAATTCTCAAACTGAAAAAGTTTGGATTTGGGGCCAGCTAGAGGGATAGAATACCAAATCCCAAGCTTGAGAGCAGGCCAACAAAATGCACTGGGGCACCAAGCGTTTGACGTTTGATTGAAGATCTGTGAAGAACGTCGTTGATCGAAGCCTGTTGCAAAAAAATCCATGATGAAACCCTGGGATCATAGGCCACCAACAAAGCCACGCCACGTGCGAAATAACTGACCGCTGCTTAGCAGCAAAGTCAAGCAGAATGCCCGCACATTCCACTCAAGGTGCACAAGGTAGCCATGCTGGCCGTTAAAACTGCGAATGCGAGATGGCTGGCTGCGGCTGGAGGTCAAGTGGCTGTACGGTAAGCTGGCCCTTTTTTGGAGCACCCTAAAAATTTTTTGATTGATGTTGCAATTCAAGGCTATTCGTACATGCTTTGGCCCACACGGCACCACACCACCTCCAGCACGTGCCATAAAACCATTCGTATACAACCTGTTGGTCCATGAAACCGTTGTTTTCCTCCTACCTTTCACTCCATCGCGCCGCCTGCGTTCATCGCTTTCATCGGCTTTCCGACGATGGCGGCGTCGGCGTCTGTGGGGCGGCTCAGCTCCGACAGGATCTCCGTGTGCTGCTGCCGGTCCAGGGGATACCTGCGAGATCGGACAAATAGGCCGGTTGGAGAGTGTTTGGAGGCAAAAAAAGCTGAAAAGCATCCGGATTATTGGTTTTGGAGACTTATATATGGGAGTCTTAGAGAGGAGTTGGATTTAACATATCGACTTCTTGGCATCTTGCTGCGCCACGAAATTTCTACGACTGAATATGAGCGGATGAGAGCGGTTTTGATGTCCGAGACTTCAAGAAATGAGGACCTTGGCAACCGAAACCGCCATGAATATAGCCTTCAACATGCTTCAACTGTTCGTAGTAATGACACACTGTCACTGACTGGTAATGGTATTTATTTTATTGTATTTTCCTGGTGATGGACATGAAGGATTGACGAATTCCGCTACGTATGCAAGAATGCAAAAGGTCCAAGCTAGCTGCGCACATCCCGATCATAGTAAAAAGGAATCAAACAATCACACACAGATGTGCATGTTCAATAGTGATTTTCCTCCAAAGGGATCGTTGTTGGAGAGCAACCTTGCAAGTAACATAACTTAAGCAATCCCCCAAGGGTTCTGGTCCAAAAGGCAAGCAAAAGACCACCAGCGCTGAGAGCATTGCCAGCAAAGCCGGGACCAGCGCGTAAAAAATACGAATGGCCAGTCCTCAGTGGACGTGACGCTTCACACGAGCTATTTGAGTCACCCAAGTTGCGACATCAACGGCACACCCACGAAAAGTCCCTTGGTGAAACAAGCGATCTTGTAGTACTATGCAGTGAAGAATGTGGATACAGCAGCCCCTCAGTGGTGGACTTTCCTTCGGCCCACAAATCTGGGCAATACATAAACGGTTTGTACATGGTGGATTGCCACTGTAATGACTCCAGTGGCGGCCCACTCTGCCCGATTCAAACCTTCAAAGCTTTGGACTCGTTCACATTAAAGTCCCAGACCACGGGTGGTTTAAATCCTGGTCTTTTCAAGTTTCCTCGGATCTCATGGGTCTTTTGATGGTCCTGCAACATGTCGTTTTTCAGTCCGGTGGATTTTCAGTCTTCGACGTCTTCCAACTTCTTCCATCGACACCGTCTCGGGTCCAGTCGAAGAGACGTCTTCCATCACTGGAAGTTAGTGATCATCAAGACCGAAGTCCCGTGATCCCTTCCATACCTACTGAAACAGGTATGCCCCCATGGATGTTTCAGGGGTCAACCCCATGGAGACAAACTTGTGAACGCAGAAAAACACCCTCTCCGTGGGTCACATTGAGACCTGGTCTGTTCCCGAAGAAATATGTCGCACCAAGGCTCTTGAGGCAGGGCCTTGTTCCTCATCAGGCTGCCCTGCCTGGAGAAACTGAAGAAACCAATGAAAACACCGTGTTCTCCCAACATGTTTTTGCATGGCAACATGTTCTTCAGTAAGAGTATGCAATTAGGGGCTTGCCACGCCAAAGAGATCACACGGCTCATCCAGAACCGTATAACCACTTGTTTTTTTGCAATACTTATATCTTATAAGCATCACACTATAGTCTATCTCACCATGCTTGCTTGCACACATCGAACGCCGTCTCACCTCGCAGGGGTCGCCCGTCGCCCCCCGGCGGCCGTCCTGGTACCCCGAGAGGTCGATCACCGCGAAGCCCAGGGCGACCAGCGCCGAAGCGGCCAACTTGCTGGAGATGTCCTCACCGCCGCGGACTGGCGGCAGGGCATCGAGCTGAGGAACGGGTGGAAGAGCGGCGGAAGTGCTTTCTCACTTGGGTGGACTGGGGGATGACAGGGATGACAAGGGGTCAAGGGGGGGGAGGTTGCGGTTGGAGGATAGAAGTGAAGATGTTTTGTCCCTGGCGCGGTGGGGGGACGGAGGGACGATGTGGATCCGATTGGAGTCCTGAAACAATGGCCGGTCCACGATGGAAGCTTCGCTGGAGTCACCATCCGATGGCACGGTTTTGCGCAGTACATCCGGAGTGAAGTAACTCTTTGGATCTCTCTTGTAAGATTTGGAACCAGTGGAACAAATACCATATCCATATGTAATATATAGACATGTATTAACCGCTTAACCACTGAAACCACGCAAATGCGGGTCACATTTAATGCCTAGACGAATCAAGTGATATGGATATGATAGATTTCTTCCTTGCGAAATCAGCTGGCCACGTTAGCATTCTGGAAAGCGGTGTTGGACAACTTGTCTTGTCGCTTCAAAACCTACAAGCCAAGATACAAAGAGTGCCACGAGTTTGCCTGGCAGGAAGAAAACCACGCAAAATGGTGTGCATGGTGTGTGCAGCAGTGCGGCTGAAATATGCTGTTCCATGCATGGCTTGCCATGAAATCTGAATCAAACTCTGCAAGAGCCTGTCCCATCTCCAGGCACAAGTCAATAAGCAGTCGGGTGCTTGGCAAGATTTTCGGGACTTACAATCCTCACAACAGATCAGATTTTCTCGTGCCACAAGACACTTTCATGATTCGATTCTCATTCGTTCGCTATAGCAACCGGACCGAAAAACACGTTCTTCATCGCCTCACAAAGTGCCATTCGGCACCTCACCCAGTGCCGAACACCCCACCTCCACCGGTGGCCACCGAGCTACCGCCCTTGACCGCCTGCCTTCGTCGCGCTTCCCGCCGCTGCGCAGCTGCGCCAGATCCGCCACGTCCGCGAGCATCGAGAAGCGGAGCACGGGGACGCCGCCGAAGGAGAGACCTCCCAGGAGCGGGGATTCGTGCGAGGAGAGGAGAGTGGGAAGGGACAAAGGGAAGGGACAAAGGGGTGGAGTTCAAGTTCAAGTTGAGTCATGCAATTTTTTGGGGTTTGGAGGGCTAATTACTGTTAAGCTTGGAAGTGGTGTTAACATGTGTTAACTGATGTCCAAGTCGTGTCTGGAGATGACCTGTTGGCTGAAACAAAAGGGATCTTGTACTTTTTGGTGGTCCAATTCATTCATCTTCCGACACAAAGTCCCAACAATTCTTGTAAGATATCGATCCCAAGGTCACCAGAAGAGGACCGCAGACCGAGGACCTCCTACAAGTAGGAAGTTCATTTTTTGGAGTCGAGGCTGAAGTTCCTCAACAAACTTGGGACTGCAGGGCGGCTACTCTTCTGGTCAGCATCCATCGTGACTTTTTGAGGCATATTTGAGGCATATCTAGCCCCAAAAACCCTTTGATCAGTCATGTCTGGCCAATTTTAGCCCGGACTGAACTGGACTCAAGACCCAAACACCCCTTCGAAATACTTGAAATCACTCAGGTCTATGGGCGCCCGGTAGCTGTAGAACCGCTGCAGGACCCCTCCGTCTCGACCCGTGCCCGCCTGCCAGGACGATGCAGGTCGAGTAGATCGGAACGGCGCCTTGCTCCACGAAGAGGAAGACCACCAAGAGAGCCAAACCCCTTAGGCACCCGGACTGCAGTCGGACTGTATCAAATCCTTCTTTAAGTGAAACATATGATGACTGAATACAACGAGAGCTTCAGTGCAACAGTTCTTTCGGTGAAACATGATGATGAGAGCTTCAATTATGATGGTTCTATGATGTTCTTGGCTTACCTCCCTGTTGCCTCGATTCTTCTCTTAGATGCCTCCAGTCTTCGTCCAACATGAGGATCTTCAAGCCACCAGCCACACTCACAAGGCTTTGATTACAAGTTGGGCTACTTGTTGAAGTGGAAAGCGGATGTAACTGCCAATCTATAATACAATAAACCATCATAGACTAGACCAATGCAACCCCCTGTTTTCACGTACTTCTTCTGGTCTTCGAGTTCCAATATCCAACCTCATCCACCGCTGACCACCGCGCCCGGCTGCGCGTCGCAGATCGATCCCGCCGAGGCGCTGCAGGAGCGTCGCCTGCGCCAAGGTCCGTCGCTTGTCGAAGCGGTGGCTGGCGAAGGCCCAGAGGGGGACGCCCACGGCGCCCAGCAGAATGTAGAGCCCCAAGAGCCTCTGGGCGGCGGACGGAGAGCGGGTGAAGTTGGAGAGTGACAAGAGGCAAAGACAGGTGCCGCATGTTGAGATTTCGTGTTGCTTTTTTGGGTGGTGTTGTTTGGGACCAGTGAGGAGGTGGACAGAAGTTTGTCAATTTTTGCTGATGGGGAAGGTGTTTACTGGGAAGGTCTTGATTGATACATCAACCAAAACAACGCTGAAGATCTGGAGGTTCGTGGAAGAACAGGGTGCCGGTCAATGCAAACAGGCCTCTTTACCATGTTGCGTGTCATCGCAAGTGCTTGGACCGGAGCAGGCACGATATCCTATCATCATGCCCTATATCAACATGAGGATCTTCCAAGCAAGGTTTGCTCCAACAGCACGTGATGAACCCTTGAACCTTTCACGGCCTACTGCTCTTGGGCTCGGGGCAGCCTCTATGGATCCTACAAGTACATCTTCCACAGCTGGCTTAGGAGAACTGACAATGTCAAGTTGACAAGAAAGCAAAAACAAAAGGGAATCACAAACTTGCCAAAAACCTTGAAGTGATTGAGAACATAACATGGCCCTAAACATCCTGGCAAACAAGGTCTATAATGGTCTATATTGCATCGGCCGTTCCATTCATTCTCACCAAACATATTCTCCACAATCAATTTCTGGCCAAGCTTCGTTGACAAGCCGCCCTCCTCCCTGAGTACGTATTTCACAAAGAAAGGATAGAGCAACGCATTGCCTCAGTGGTCGTCAGCTCGAAGACAGGGCTTGATAGTTCGACGTAGGTCGCATCCTCTTTGAGTGTCAGTGTTTTGGCAAGTACCCAGGTCTTGACTTGACCACATTCGAGTGGCTTGTCTTAGAAAAGGGATGCGCCCAAAAAACATGCAGAAGCATTCGTGCCAAAAACAGGCCCGAAGGCAAAGGGCCAACCCATGGTGAACTCCCTCAGCAGAGGTTGTTGGTCCCGGATGAGGTTTATCAATTCTTCATGTAATCTAAAGGGGTGATGATGAAATTTGATGGAATCTTATAAACAAATATATGAGTTATCTACCAGGACCCTCCAACAGGTCTCCAAAATGGTGGCTTTTGCAGACTTCAACGTCGCGACGGTGGTGACCCACATCCGTCCCCTCACGACCAAACTTGGATACATGCGCCGTCATGCTTGCGACCCCTTCGCCGTCATGCTCGGCTTTCAGAGGTGCCATACACTCCCGTGACGCACACACACACACACACACACACACACGCACACGTCCTGCAGGCTAGTGAACAGCAAGTCTCCTCTTCTCACATCGGCCAGTCTCCATTTTGGTGAGTCTCTGACGTACATTGGCGTCTTACTTGTCCACGGCACTTGTCCATTGCCTTCCAACTCTTCTCACACAGACCCTCACTCCATAACCGTCGTCACCGTCTCCCAGCCCAGTAGCTCACCACAGCCATGGACATCAGCACCGTGGCCAACCAAAGGCCTCGGACAGTCGAGGTGCGTTCACATCACCCAAGCTCGCAAGTGGCGAGTATGACACGAAGCCAAGTGGGTTCCGTAAGTTCCACCCAAGTGGTGAATCCCCGAGCCAAGTGCTTTCCATGGCCTTTTTTATCTGAACAAAATGCCGTCAAAGGACGCCATTTCACCACCCGTTCCACCCCTTCCACCGAAACAGCGAATGGTTTCGATTGGGATGATGTACCTTGTGTTCCGAAACAGAACGTCCACTTGCTGCTATTGGGTTAAAGAAGCAGCCCCCACTGGAACTCCCAGTGGTCAGATTTACGCATTGTTCAACTTTAATAGTAACAAATATGGTAAAAGTATAGCTAGCCTGCACCGGGTGGAATGGGCATTCAGGCCCTCAGAAAATCCAAGCTTCATCCTAGCTTCATGCCGTCAAACCCTATAACAGAGTCATTCCTCGTGCTTTTCGAGGCTTTGTTCCACCCCAAACATCCCCAAACCTACTTCTCCCCAACCCCTCTGATCCCATTCCCAACCAAAGTGCTTCATTACGGCACGACACTGGCCACCACCTATCTCATCACTCAGCACCTGTATCTTCGCGACTTCGCCCCGGAAAAAAACACATACTCTCTTGACAAATCAACCCACCCGGTTTGAGGTTTTGGACATCCTCTTCTAGTATTTAGGGGGTGAAAAACACATCAGACTAGTCCCTTCCAAAGCACTCAGACGCCGCAGCTTCTTCTCTTCGTTCGCCCTCCGAGGCGCTCCAGGCGGCGCGCACCTCGAGGACGTGCCGCAGAAAGCTCCAGGTCTTCGACGTCGGTCTCGCGACCGTCGCGGAGGTCGTCGCGCTCGTCACGGAGGTCGGCGCGGTGTCGGGCACGGTGCCTAGGGAGACGGAAGCTGGGAAGCCGAAGCTGGAACAGGGTGTCGTGTGGGAGGACTTGGAGGGTGAGTGGCCCTTGAGGCACCCTAAGGAGTTTCATTTTTGTTGAAGCTTGGGGCTTGGGGTGTAGTTCTATGCCAGTGGATTTTCTTGGCGTGAGATGCATATAGAGAGTAGCCACGCAAGTTATAACGAAGCTAGCCAACTAGATGGAAATGAAGGCAGGCCCCAGAAACTTTCGAAAGACAGCATTGCGCCAATTCGGAGTTGCCTCGTCGAATGGCTCAAACGATTTCTGCCTCTTGCTGGTCACAGGCATGACGCCGCACATTCTTCATTCTTTTACCAAAGTTGACATAATGGTACTTTCCATAGGTCCCCTCGTCGAAAACAATCCCCTGTTCCCCTCTACCCAAAAGAGTTTGCCAAGTTCAATGGCTAAACTATTCCAATCACTTCTTTGCACGACATCTATTCTCGCCCAAAGCTGCTGCCTTGGGCCTCAATTAGGCACCGAATTTGTACTCCTCAACTGATTCCTCTCCCAAGCGGCAGAAGCACCAGGTACCATGCACTGCCATCGCCACCGCCCAAACACTGGCCATTAAGGTCAATCGGCTAAAGACCTCCATGCTCTCCAGCGCCTCAACTTCCGGGACCGGAGTTGGCGCCTTCTCCGCATGTCACGTCGTGGTGCGTTGGTCGTGGTGCGAATTGGAACATAGCCGTCGGGCCAATGCCTGCTGTGAAAAGGACCTAACTGGAGGAACTCGGAGGAATTGCTCCAGATGTTGAGAAGTCGGAGTTTGACGATGCCGAAAAAATCTTCAAAGACTCTGTAAAATGACTGCTGTCATCAGCAAAGGAGGAGGGTTCGGAAATAGAAAGGGTCCCAAGCATCGATGTTCTGTTTGAAGTGCCACCTAACCAAACAACTTCTTCATCCGTTTCGGGCGGCGGGTGACCCACGGGCATAAGACGAGGAGTGCCTTTCACCCCGTAGACGGGAGGCCGGTCTGTTCCTCTCAGATCGAGATCGGTGTTCAGCGAGTTCTCGACTTGGGTGGTTTGGTGTCAGCTCAAGGTGTTCCCGAACTGAGCATGTTCACATGATCAAATCTGTGGCATTTGCCCATGATCCGGCTTAATTGAGTCATCCCTATTAGTTTACCTCTGTTCACTCCAAATCCAAACTGACTAAGCTGGATTCGCTGTTTTGCCAAACTGGCCATGCTGTTTGTTCATGGGATGCAATATGAACAGCATGGGGTCATCGACGTTGATTGTGCCAGCGACGGGTCTTGTCCAATTTGTCACATCATGCCTGGTGGATGCTGGTGGTTAAATTCCAGAATTGGCACTTTCACACACAACTTACCAAACCATACCAAAACCCTCCAACAAATCTCCATAGGTTTTGGACATGAAAGGTTGCAGTGCGGTTGCAGCTGACTTGCAGCTGACAAACCCAACGACGATCTCGCCCAAGTCGCCAGTGGAAGCACTGCGGCAGCCAAGCTCCCGAAGACGTACCTCAGCTGGCGCTTTTGCAAAGATCGATGCAGTTGTCGAGGGGCGGTGGACGGCGTGTCCACCCGAGGTGTCAGGCTGCGGCGGGAGGGGCGTGGCGCATTCCTGATGTTTGGTCGGCTTCGGACCGCCGTCACCTGATAAGTCATCGTCAAACGGAGGATGATTCAAAGGTACAGCCCTAGTGAACGCTCCAAATCGGGGGGCACTCAACAATATTCCTTATGTTTGCCTCATCAACCAGGTTCTGTCCTCTACCAGCCATTCCACTAGCTGTCCCAAACCTGGAGTCTTCATGCCCGGGTCGGACACCGCTTTTCCTCGGCCAACGCAGGCAGCAGCGGCTTGGCCGCTGGGACGAGAGTCTTTTCGCCGCTTACTCCGTGGAATCAAAGTGGGTAGGAGCCTCCATGACCATTTGGAGCTTCAATGTACTGAAAATCACTGAAAGCATTGCACAGTTCACATGAATGCTGTGATGCCATAAATAACCTGCTGGCCCAGAGATCAGTGTGGTTCGCGATTGTTTGAGGCACATCTGTACCATTCCCCACAGCCACATAAGGAGCCCATGATGAACGGCAACTTGGATCCTAAAATATGACGACCGGGATGAAGCGAAGCAACTCATCCTAGGTGATTCGGAACGGGGCTTCAGTTGGTCTGAAAAGCCAACACCCTAAACCCACCGAGTCAAATTGCCAGCCGGGGAGGCTTCAGAAAGTTAGAACAACCAACCCCTTTGAAGCGAACAGTGCTTATGAGATCTTATGAGGACATCCAGGACATCTCTTTAATAGGGCATTGGTAGCAAGTCCGCCCCAAAATCACTTTAAAACAGCAGCATCATTCGTTCGCTTTTGTGGCTCCAACTCGGAGGCTCCACAGGCTTTTGGAGGCATCTCCAGCACCGGCACTCTGCAGACTCCGAGAGACGACCGGATGGAACGAATGACACGAGCAACGACGTTGGGGAGAGACCGGGGAGACCGGTGACGAGCATCGTCAAGTCGGTGAATCGCTGCTGTTTTGTCAATGTGTCGATCTGGTGTGTGAGACCAGTTTCATCTGAAGGAAGGGTGGTCAAGAAGGCACAAAAGCCTTTAAAATGCCAGTGGGCATTGACGCGAACACATCCAGGCGGACGCCTAAAAAGCATGAAAAAACGATGAAAAACCCTATATGTGGCCGCTATATGGAGTCCCAGCTGCAAAGAACCTGAAGTGACCCTTCCATCACATCTATCAAACAACATCTTCATCCCAAACACTCCACTGCCCATACTTTGCCGATCAGTTGGGGTGCCTTGGGGGATCAACGGGGCGGCATAATAGTCCAAGAGTCCAGTCCTCAGGAGAGTGTCTGGGTTGTATATCCATCTACTGTACCAACACTTGCCTCCTCGGAGTGCCAAAGCAAAGTTGGCCCAAGTCCTCGAATGCCTCCAAACGATCCGAGCGCGCCTTAATTCCAAAAAATGATCCCAGGTGTACTCACTTCAATAGGAAACCAGGGCAGTTTCAGGTCTTTCTTGTATACTACAGTGCAACCCAAAATGCTTGAATACGATTGAATATAGATTTTAAGTAATTTTTTGATGGATCATTGGATGATAATGGTGGGTACATATCCTGCTGGGTCGTATTTTTGTCTTGACGGCCCTGGTGACCTAGAATTCCTGGACGCTGCCCCAAGCCCATTGGCCTTGGAACGGCTCCACGGTCGTCGCTGAATGGTCAAGAAGTGGTCGTTCCATGTTGGTATATGAAACATGAAACATCTTGAACACAACATTGGGGGGATCCCACTTTGAAGCCCCCTGACTGGTTAAGGACATTGTCATATAGTACAGTTAATGTGGGATGCCTACGTACCGCATTTCAATCATTAGTAACTCCATGCGCACATCACCATATATATAAATGCAATGATTGCAATCTGCACACACCACTTCACTTGGAGTGCTTTGGGCAAGCCAAAGCTGACCGTTTCGCCCCGACAGCTCTGCGTTAACGAGGTGAAACGACTCACTGTCATCAGGCAGCCCAGCATGGGCGCGGCCCATCTGCTGGGAAGGTTTGAGTTGGACTCGACGAGCCTTTCTGCGGACGTCACCAGTTGAACGACTGTGCCTTGTCGGTCGAAAAATGCACCAACTCTTTGGATGCCTGAGTGTCTATAAGGTGCCCTCAGTTCAAGATGTTACATCTCGGTGCACCATTAGTGAGGGAAAATGACAACTGCTAAACATTGATAAAACATCTCAAAGTGTCGAAGACAAGCAACCTATGCATGTTGTGTGGGGTAACAACACAGACATCCCAACCTTCACCATCAACATCGAGGTCGGGCCATTCATAGCCCAAGCCATGAACGGGGCTCTCTTGAACTGAGGCTGACGTCACGTCCTAACCTGAACCGAAGAGATCAAATGGCGGCTTTGGCACCGGAACGTCGCCCAGCCACAGGCAACACAGGATGACCTCAGGGAGACATGCGCATCCAAAGGCGGGGTGACCACCGCGCGGGGCGCGCGAAGCAAACAGCTCTTTCGCTTGCCATGCGTTTGATCCAAAAACAAGGTTTCACGTCCGTACGGGCCCCCCGTCTTCGTGTGGGCAGGCCCATACGAAATGGCGTTTCGAGCGGTTCAAAAGTCGAAAAAAAGTTGTATAGTGGTCTCTTTTCAGCCGTGGTCGGCACGCTCTCAGGTGTTTCGCGTGTGGTTGCGATACACCCACTGATACACTCTATTCCACAGCCGTGGGTTCACCAATCCTTTGGACCGGTTCTTGCTTTGTGGCGAGATGAATTTCTTCATCCACGACCACAGCCAATCTAGCTGCTGGGTGCCAAAGATCATCTGAGTCTGCTTCGAGTTGACCATTGGCCCTCTTAGTCCATTGACTCTTCACATGCTTGACGTGTTTCACAGCCAAGCGCTTCGAAGGGTACTTGGCAGCAGCGGCCGACCATGCAAGTGCTCCATCTGCACACAACAATCAAAGAACCTGCTCGAACATTCCGAAGCAAGCCTGAGGTCACTATCTCAGCACATAAAAATGTCTAACTTTTACTCCGAGAATCGGGTCCTCCCGCGAACCAGCGGCCCAAGATGGTGTCTGCGGCGCGCTCTTGTCTGACATCCGGCTGCCAAACTCAAAAAAAACAACGCCCGACGAACACGTGACTCGACGAAACCACGAACCGACGAAAACACGAAACGACCCAAACACGAACCGACGTCATTTGCCCCCCCCCACCCGCCCCTGAATGATTGTTGGAACCCTGTCTGCTTCAAAAACGTGCAAATTCACGGGGGCCCATACGGACGTGACACCAAAAACAAAAGCACATGATATCGGCATAGGAATGTGCTATAGGATTGGTGTTTCTACTACACACCAAGATTTTGGTCATAGAAAGACGCTTCAAATAGAACCGAGCGTGTCCCAGTGGTCTCAAAATCGCAAACATTGCGACTTCTCCCTCCAGGTCTCATCAAACAAACGGATGCGGCTTCCCCGATCTTGCAGGGCGTTTTAGAGTCTGAATCAATTCAACGGTTTTCTGTATCAAACGATTGTACAATTAGAGCTTTCCAAGAAGCCAGGGCAAATAACTAACTAGCATATAATAACATCTGCCTCGCTGCTTAGCAAATCTCACATGAGCCCTGGAGAGTTCCGCGAAACGCACACCCAGCGACCATCAAGGCAGTCTCCAGTGTCCAATAAAGCTTCCTGGACACCCGAGAAGCCGCGACGTAGGGTCTTTCAACGAAACGATGCGAAACGATGCTCAGATCCAGGTACCTCGGTACTTCCTATAAAAGACTGTGGGGTAATATACTGGGTACGAATACTACTCGAGTAAATATACTACAAATACTACTATACTGTATATATATATATATATATGCATGGTAGTAAATATATATACCTTCAACAACAAGACCCTGGAATTTCGCAGGGTCTGCTTGAAGAACCGAGGTTTTCAAGAGAAACCCGGGGTTTTGGTTTCTTGGCCCCCGCCCACCGCTGCACAGATGTGTTTCTTTTGGCTCAACTTCTTACTTCATCGAGACCGCATTCATCCCGACGTGCCTCGGCCTGGAATAGCCATCGCAAAACAAACAGCTGCGTATCAAAGCTTGTGAACGCACCTCTATAGCACAATTATATAACAGGTTTTTGTCCGAATCATATCCCATCAACTTGCCATTCCACTGGAGGGCACTATGTATCCCTCTGCAACCCAATGAACATAAGAACTTTGGAGGTATCGCTCCAGGACTCTTGAACAACTTTGGAGTGGCTTAGGGGTCACACGACGACTGACGCGACTTGGTCGCCCGATGAAGTCTTCATCGGCTTGGGTGCTGAAGCAAAGCGGAGAAAGGACCTTGCCGTTGTTTGCACTATAGTGCAAATAGCAAACGACATGGTGCATTGAGTGATGCTTCGGCTGGAGAGCCCACAACAAACGATCCTGCAACAAAGCAGCACGCGCCAGCCTGGCATAGAGAACCAGGAACTCAAGCCCCAAAGCAGCAATTTCTCGAGCGTTGGATGCACTCAACCAAGCTTCTGCGTCGTACAAACGTTTCAAGAAGGAGTTGCACGCCACGCAAGCTTGCCCCGCTTCCTGCAACATGGGGGGCCACGACCTACCCTCTGCTTTGTAAATTGCTTCGAACCACTCCATCAACGACGTTGACAAACTGCCTTTGTGCCAACCACCAACGGGGTATGTTGTTTTTGCGATCCAACCGATATGTTCCTTGCACAGCTTGCTCACCCATGGCCTTTTCCGCTCTGTCTTGCACCAGTGTAGGTAGTGCTGCGTCAAGCTCTCAAAGCGGTCTTCGATTCTGGAAGACGACTGCACTTCTGATAGCGCAGCGATGGCGCTGCCTAAGAATGATTTGCATACGCCAAGGTGCATTGTATGAAATATATCAAACTGCCAGAGGTTCGGCAGTTGACCTGGGCAATGAGGCACGTCCACGAAAGCTGACTGTTCTGAATTTTCAGCAGAAATCTGTAGGGTGAACATGGTCTGTAGCCACTGCGGCCGTAGAGTGTTTATTTGTTCCCAGTCGCACTCTCTTCCAGCTGCACACATGTGGCAAATGCCAGTTCTCCTACGCTGCCTCTTGCTCTTCCCCACGTTCCGGAAGCTTCTCTCAAACTTTCCGCAGTCAGCTAGCCACGGCCAGTCGCCGCTTATGTGCACCAGAGCCATGTTGAAGCGACCGCGGTTGTTTGCTGTGTCCTCCACGCCATGAAAAAACATGTGCCGAACCTCGTCAGCCACGAAGCGCATCAGATCCTGAAATGTTTGTTCATTCTTCCCCGTGTATAGCACCTTTGGAAGCGCTGCTAGCATAAACCGGGAGGTCTGTGTGTGCCCGTGAAAATTCGGGCACATCTTGCACCATGGAGGTTTGCGCTTCTTGCTCTCTACCCGAAGACCACGTCCAAGAACAGAATGGACATTGCAAACTAAAAATGCAAGATGCTTCCTGGACCTCCCCTCATCACCGTGAAAGATCATGGGAAACGTTTTGTTCAAACACAGGTTTCCCAAGCGCTCCTGCTCGAAAATTGGGTGAGTAGGGTATTGTTGGCGAAAGTTGCTCCAAAAGGCTGTAAGTATTGCCTCTTCACGACACCAGTGAGGCTTCTTTAGCCCAACCAAGATGTGAGTATGGTTTCCAGCCAGAAGGAATTCCATCCAGTCCCTGATTCGCAAAACCGGCAGTGACAAACCATGGCCAGTCTTGAGCTCACTTTTGGGAACAGGTAGAGCCAACTGATACTCAACAGCCATAAGACGATGACAATCTCTTTCAGCATTGTGTTCAGATCGGGAAGCTAATTTGATGAGCCCCCCTGACTTGGAAGCAGCAGCCTGTCCCACATCTGCCACAAAGCCTTTGGCAGATCTAATGGCCGAAGCGCATGAGGCCTTAGCGACGCAGTGGAAACACACCATGCAAATCTTTGTACTATAGGGGTGCGTTCACAAGTGCAGGGCAAACGTCAACACAGGAAAACACGGTTGAAATACATGTCATGCGTATATCGAGACATACCGGTTTTCCAGAGAGTGCGGCGGGTCCACGTAAGCCACTTTTGGGCAAATGTTAATTGCAAGGGGCCAAAACCATTCAAGCATGAAACCTTTACACACACCGCCTTTTTGCAGGTGGTGGATACTTGAAACTTCTATACACAATGTACACCATGTAGAGCTGTCCCGCCGAGGTATCAAACCGGCATGTATCACCACCAAGTTTTTCGTTCTTGCATCCATGGGTGCCTTGGCCAAAATGGGAAGTGAACGGTCGCAAGACTTGTTGATTTGACGAGTTTGTCAATCTTAGGTTGAACAGTGACCAACACATACTGGGGATGAAAAGCCTTTATGAAAGAAACAAGAATTGATTTAAACCCAGTACCTTTGTACTTGTCAATGAGGGCTGCTTCCAGCATGGCAGGACTGTGAGGCTCGGGAGCTGCATAGATCACCACCATAAAGGACCATTTTTCGACTGCTGAACAATACCCATATATTGAATTGCCCCATCGCCAGAAAGGATTGTGCGTGAATCCGATCTTGAACATCACAGGGGACTGGGAGTCAATCAGGTCGTCCAACAAATTTGCACAATGCCGCACAACACTTCCCGACAAAGCACCCAACCGCGGCAAATCAAACCGCACTTTTCCAGGGAAGTGTTCCTCCAGTTTGCTTTGGAGATTTTGCAAATGTGGGTAACAGTTCGCATAGTCTGCAAACCGTTGAAGTTCCGGATTCACCCGTTTTGGAATCACGTCTGATGCGCACAGGCCTTTAGGCTTGCATTTCCCAGAGTCCAGTGTAGGGGTGGGGACTTTCTCGGAAAGGGCAATGTTAGTAGGCGCTGCTGCTACATCCGGCGGAGCATTTGCCCATGGGAATGGACAAATGGAATCCTCAAAGCAGTTAACATCTCCAAGGGTCGATACAGGATACAAAACAAAAAACGCACACTATTGAGAATCCATGAGAACAATACACTGCATATCACAGCGGGAAATAAATGCTGTCAGGGAACGGTTCGGTGAGAAGTCAAAAGTTCCACTAGCCACTCATCTTCGGCGTTGGGAGAGCACTGCATGAGGACATGTGGTACTGTGGTGTGGGCCCCTAAGGTCACAATGATCAAGCCAGCTTATAGATGCAGCAGGGGAAGAGACATACAAAGGTTCGGTATTGAACTGCACCCATGGACACACCGGAGGCATTCACCCATTGCGCTTAGGTTCAGACGCCTTGGCCAATATCAGCGCTGAAGCTTCGGAGAGCGTTGCCTGCAGGCTTACCTGGCCGATTCTGCTTCGTCTATCAATACGATGGTACACTATATGGATCAACCAGTGACACAAAACACGAACAGTTGAAATTTAAACGATGCCAATTCGAGAATCCGGCTCACCTATATATCAAGCTTTGTTTGCCCCATGATGGTTCCCTGACTCTATGATATCACGACTGCACATCATCCCTGCATCTTGAGACTGGTGATCTCGCATCTTCATCTTTCAGGCGCAGAAAGCTCGGCGCATGGATGCGTCTCCAGCAAAGAGGACTGCATTTGTGGGATTCCCGCTGTGACATGCAGGTTTAAATCCCTGACAACCCCAAAAGGTCACCCGAACACATTGCTCTACACACCCACGCTCGTTGAACTTAATTGGCGTTCAGGCACAAACAAATATATAAGATTGAAAACAAAATCGATCAACACAAGATCAACTCGAAGGAATCATGGCCATACTCGAGGTACACTAGGTGCCACACAGCGTGCAGGTGTAGAGCCCCTAAGTGTTTTGGGTAACTGGTCTAATGCTCGATTCAGCACACGCAGCTCACAGCACGATATATATCATGCCACACCTTAAATCAAACCTTTTTGGCCTTGCCCTTGGCTTTGGCCTTGCTAGAAGAACTCTTTGACCCCTTGGGGTCTTTAGGGAGCTTTGCAGATCCCGACTCACGCCCTTCACCGCCGCCAGCCGCAGGCTTTCCATCCCTTTGATAGTACTTCTTCGCGTTCCTGCACCCGCTGTGGAAAACACGACATGTATATATTCCAATATATATTCCAATGGATCGACTGACCACATGTTCTCGTTCCATGTTCATGGGCATGGGATGAAAACGGATATATCATGATATATGACCTTAAAGGACTTCCCATCACCGGAGTCCTGACTTTGTTCTCGATGGCCAAAGCTTTCGAGCACCTGATCCGGAAAAGGTATACTGGAAAGATCAAATTCATCATTAACATGGCAGTGATCAATTTGTCCACCAACCATTGAGGTTTTCACGTGAAAGTAGCCTTCTTCATTCGCTCCTCTGCCATGTTCACAAACCTTTGCTGAAAAACGACGGGTCGACGTTGAACTGAGGGGAACCATTCTCGTGAACAACAACAAAACTTGAACTCGTGCTCTAGGAAAACCCACAAAGTTGGAGTAAGAAACGCATCGGAACGGAACTTATCCGCTTCTCCCCGGGCCCAAGCTTCATTGCAGGCGTCAAATGCACCATCGACGTCCTTGATGGCGGATTCCAAGGCAGGGAGACACCTGGGCAACAGGTTGATGTGGCACGAAGGAAGTTGATCGAAGGCTGAACCTGGTTTTGGACATAAACATGAGGCGAAAGCTTCTATATATGAAAACTC